TCTTCGGACCCGTTCCACTACGTTTACGTACCGTGAAAGGGTATAAAGGGTGGGTACACCCATCGAGACGTACCAGTCATTCGGTTGTAATGGTATCCAGCGCACGCTGCTCTATAGGGCGGAAGCACGCCGCAGTGTTAAAGGCTATTTGCCACCTGGATAGCAAACAACGCAGCGCTTTGTTACGAGCGGCCGACTCACGGCTCGTCAACTGTATATGCGAATGCGCTCTGAATATTCTTCGCGGCAACGTACCTCTCAAACCTACTCAGAAACGTCGATCAACTGTATATGCGAATGTGCTCTGAATATTCTTCGCGGCAACGTAACTCTCAAAACTGCTCAGAAACGTCGCTTAGGAAAACACGCACCGCTGCTGAGACCTTTATCCAGACCGGGTTCAGCAGTCAAAACTGGAAAACGCCATATCGTTCAGAGCGGTGGTTTTCTACCTCTTCTGCTGGCACCCATACTCGGCACCGTCATATCAAAACTCATAGGGGGAGGTGGATAGGGTATACGCCACGCAGAGAAAGAAAGAGAGAGAGCGAGATGGAACATGCAAAAAAAATGGTTCTCATCCCTCATGAGAGTGTGAATACCGTGCACCAACAGTACCGCCGTGCAGCGCCTCATGCGCACCATCACAGTCAGGAGGGCATTGACACCGTTAACACCGTGCAAACCCCTGGGACCCCCTTAAGCAGATTAGACGCATCGATGAGGGAGATCCTACACTCGCCGAATTTCATTGACGAGCGCGAAAAGTGGAAGATGTACAATCAGGTGCTGCAGCGTTATCTACAGAGGATAGGCGCGCCGATAGCGATAACAAGAAAAAAAATAACAATTCTGCGGACGATAACGCCAGGAGCCCGACCGCCGATGCTGACGACGACATCATTGCCAGTGTACCCCAAAAGTACAGGACTAAGGCGCGGCTCTTACTAGGCAGGCTGCGTGACGCTGGCTCGCCACACATTTCGTGGAGTAAACTGGGCGTTACGCGTATCGGTGGAGCCGTCGTGCAGGATGCCAACATAGTTGATTTAATCAATGACGCTATGCGTGAGAGAAAAACGACGAGTCCGGCGGGGGGTCGGCAGTTTGCGCGGTTCCTCCGTACTGCTGGTATACCGCGCGAATT